ATATCTTCAAATTTAATTCGAATTAAATATAATTCTTAGATCTGTTTAAGTAAACTTGCAAATAATTAAAGTAACACAGAAAACAAAAACGGCCCCAAAGCTGAGCCTTGAGGTACCCCAACACTGTAGCACCCTAACGACTATGACGTTGCTAACACCACGACCATGTCGGGATGATTTACTTGCTATTCTTGCATTTTGTTTTGATTCGCCAAAGCCACGCTCACGACCGAAATAAAACGCTTTACAATGTTGAAAACACGTTTGAGATATTTAGTCGACTCGCTTAATGTTGACAAAGGACTACAATTACACGCAATTCCGGCTTTTGAATCTATATAATTTGCATGAATGTGCCTTTTGTCATAGCTGTAAATATTTTCGTGTTGTCAAGTTAACGGACTAAAAAATCACATAATAATGTGATTGGATGTGATGGATGTGATCACATAATGTATTGGAAATGACTTCAACAAGTAACCTGTCATAAACTATCTACAGAATTTGTTTATGCCTATTTTAGCATTTAAAATTGGCTAGTAAGACTATTGATGGAAGTTAACTTAATCCAACCCAAAACTACCCTAACAGTCTTTCACAATCTTGTTCTTGCTTTATTAGTAATTTATTTTCCATTTTTTACCATCATATTTTGGATTTTCCAACCTCTTGTCTTGAAAAAAATATGACCTTAGAAATACAATCATTTTATATATCATAGTATTTACTCAAATAATCATCTCTTTTCACTATCCAATAACCTCTGTTATCTATTTAATTCCTATTGTAAAAATTACATTTTGAGAACAATTACTCTTATCATAATAATTAAAATTCTAGTATATAAGTGTGAGGATAGGGTCTATTAAAAAACAGAAGGAATCAAATAAAACAACATTTATACAATATTCCTTTCCTACAAAAATTATTCGTTTCCTATTCTCTCTGGTAGTAGCGTCTCCAGCGTTTTATCACCTTCGCCGGCCTCCACCTGGCCCTGTCTCATAATTTACATAACCCAGATTTTTCAGGCGGCTCACCAAAGACCTCCTAATTAAACCTTGGACGACACAATGGTAGGGTGACAATGCGTGCGAGAGAGACGACTATAGGGAGTGTGCATGTGTGTGTGTGAGAGGGAGATTACCCGTTTATTTACGGGCAGCTGGCCGGTGGCGTGTGCGTGTGCGTGTGTATGCCACCTATAGGGTGAGGGGTGGACCAAAATGATATTCAGATCCCCTTCTTCGCGTGCGACCTACAATGGGGCAAAAACTTGATCGGGTATGTTTTTGCTTTGAATACTGTTGATCCGGTGGTACAAAAACAAATAAGTTTATTGTTTTGGGAATCGAATCAGGGATGTAAGTGAGAATTGTAAGGGTGGTGTATAAAATATAATTTTCGTTACTCTGTGTGACACGAAAGGAAATAGTGGTAAAAACTTCAATTACAATACGATGTTACTACCAAAATAGTCGATGAGAAAATGTTCATTTCGAGATGACAGAAGTCGCCCTTGACGACACCCAATTTTAGTTGTGGCGAAGACTTCTTGTATGCAATTAAAAAAAAGTATTGCTGATGTGTTCTTCACAATTTTATTACTCGTCAACAAGGAAGGTGGGGGACGCTTGCAAGTTATTTCATAATGTAATATAAAAGAATTAAAGGAGGTTATACATACTTTCTAATAATAGAGCAAACCATCGATCTCTACTAGATCGATGGGGCAAACTTGTAGTAAATAAAGTCTCATGAGATAGCTAATTTATACTCGTATAACAAACACGTTTCAAATTACAACAATGCAGATTATTCATACAAACGTGTCACAATTTGTTGACGTCAGTATTATAAAAACATTGAAAACACACTGAGCGACATGAATATGACATCAAAAGATACAGAGACGTTTTCTGGGAAATTTATGTCAAATTTGAAACTTTTATTTCACTTTACATACTCACGACTGTCAGCTGTATGTTAATGTGTAGAACCTTCATGGACAAGTATAGCAATGGGTGTGTCTCTGTGCTAGCATAGTTGGCAGCACCAGAACTAGTAGTAATGTATGAACAGTATGGCAAAATTACGACGAAGCACGAACCTTTAACATGGTCCCTCATTCCGCAAATGTTACAAAATGTAGTATTTTTTTATCTGTACATCTTCTCCATACTTAACAAATTTAAAGTCTTAGAAAATCGCCTCAATGAATTATTGTCATATGATGTCATCATCTGCTAAAGGCCTTGAGTGTTTTTTTAAACCCAAAACAACAATTAAAGGTAGTCTAGATTCAAATTCAAATTTGATTATAAATTCGCTGATTTATATTATTCATATATCATGTTTTCGTTACTGTCAAGTGTCGTTTTACTCTATGGAGCTTACTTAAGACTCTGGGACTAACTGAATCGGATTGTACTGGATCGAGATTGGTATAATTATTTTCTTCAGATTCTAAGTTTTCTCCCGAAGTCTGTTTCTAGAGACTATTCAGTTTCGGGCCAAACATATTATTATAGCAGACAGATGACGTGCGTATTTGTAAACATCATGGTTAACCTTACATCGATGACTGATGTGTTTTATTACGTGTATTGTTGTTTTTAGTGATTAAATAATAGTGATATACGTGGTGCACAGTGAGAAGATTTAAGTGATGTTGAAGTGCTAGTTGATGATCCTGGAGAAGTAGGTAAGATATTGTTGTAAATTATCCTTCAGATTCTTCGCTATCGTTGGCTAATGATTCTTAGCTATAGCTAAATGTGCGAAATGTGTTTTTCACCTATAACTTATTTATTTACAAATTTATCTCCCTATATAACTATATTTTTTTAAATCCTCATAACATTTAGAACAAAGTGGCTTTTTTAATATATTTATCTGTTTGAAAATCATACAATTTTATTGACCTACACTTTTTCAGTTTTTTTTTTATAATTTATGAAAAATGTTAATGCCACAAAATTTGTTGAAAATTTGTCTTGTAATGTTTTATATATTAGCCTATAATGAAGCCCATAATTTTTCATAACAAAATAATACTGTACATAAAACAGTATAGTTTAGAGTGTTTTTAATTTTTTTAGATACATGTTACTTAGGGGTTTACAGTAGCAGACGTGTATGTGTATTATGAAGATCACATGAAGAGGCTGTTCGTTGCCGAAACTAGTTACTTTATGCAATGTTATTTCAATGGTTAAGCCTAGTTTTTTACCCTGTTTTTAATATATATCCGGAGGTCATACTGTCACGAAATTTAAAGGAGTTATAGGAAATCTTTTGCAAAATGTTACTCTTCAACTTTCACCCTTCTAATTTACAACTATTTCTGCACAAATTTACAACCCCGACGAATCCTCGACGCATTTCAGGGCAGAACGAACCGCGTTTAAAAACCGTCCCTTGTCAGACAATATTTATTTGGGGCAGCCGCTCTGGACCTTGGACCGCCTCCTCACTGACCTAAGCCACCCGTCCTTCGCCCCTTCGGCGAGTCCCGGGGGACGGAAGCGATATATCACTTTTACCTCCGCCGCTGTTGGAAATTTGTCACCAAATGGTTTCTGGACACGTTTGTCGTCTGAAGTCACGCTCGGTTAGAAGTTAGAATCGGTTTGTGAAAGTTGTGTTTGTATTACGTTCTTGTTTTATTTTTTGTTTCCAAGAAAGTGACTATGGGTGTTTAGACTGCGTTGTGGTAGTTGTAGGTCTTGACAATTTCACCACCAACATCTTGTTAAGAATTGTTTCCAGAGTGTTGAGAGTTATTTATAGTTCTATTCGTTTGTCAAAGGCCAAGTAAGGTTAGATAATATGGAACTTGAGTGTTTGCGCCTTGCCTTACAGTAGGCCTACACTTAATTTAAGATTGAAAGAGTTTCAAAACGCCATATCTTATCACAGAGACGGTTTCTCTCGACATATAGTGATGAAAAGATGCATACATTAAAGCAAGACAAATCACAAAAAAATAACTACGTAAATCCACTATCACCAAAGACAAACGTGAATGATGGTTTTGTTTTGTTATACAATGAAATTTTCTTATATGTCTTTGCTTTTACTGACTACTTACTGCTGTGGCCACTGGTCCATAATTCTTGGCCTCCCCAACACACTGCTCTATACATCTCTGCATCTTGCGTCCTCCTTCCTTCTTCCCAGTTTTCTTATGCCCTTTTCTATTTTTTCTCACCATCTCAGTTTCGGTCCACCAAGTCTTCTTTCTGGGTTGTTCTCCAGTACTTTCTTTGGTAAAGAGATGACTTCTTTTCTTGTCCTGCCCATCTCATCCTTCTACTCCGTACTGTCTTTTAACAGCAAAAATGTCATCTTTATGTTTCAGCAAGATGAATTCACGATCTATAGTCGATTTTATTAAATTATAACAATTGTTAATTATCATCGCTCACTAGTCTCAAGAAGTATTGTTTCAACATTAAATTTCTGAAGTATCCTACTTTTATTTATTTAAGTTTTACATTGGATAAAATGCTTTAAATGTGACATAGTAAACAAATCTAAATGATGTGTGGACTATCAAATCTAATAATAATCTCACATATGTTTTCGTAAAACGTTTTGACACCTACGTATACAAACTTGTACCTACGTAATCTTACAAAATTTACCTCGTAGAGTGTAATTTTCAACCAGTGAGTCAAACACATTACAATTTCCCATCTCAGAATCTTTGACGACCAGTTTCTTTCTTTCAAGCCTCCTAAAACTCGACCCGGCCCATTCCAGGCGATTACCTCTTGAACACATGGAAATCTCTGATAAAGAAGAGATCAGCCGAACAAGTTGTCCTAACAGTGGATTAATTTAACAGACTTCGGCCAACTTCGGCATTGTTCGGGCTGTGCCGGAATCACCCGAAGTCCGAAGTACTCCGGCTGTCGGCGCGGCGTACCTTTTCTGCTGTCTCTGTCAGTCGCCCCGTGGTCGTGTCGAACTCCGGTTGTTGTTGGAAGGTGAAAAGAGCATCGGACTCGCTAAAATACAAACTGTTGTAAAGTTTTTGTACAAACAATCTGTGGATTTTTCTATTAGTGTAGTTTTAGAATGTGTAGTTTGTAAGCATTTTGGAGAATTAGAAGTACCAGGTAAATGTTTTCCTTAAGTTTGTTTCTATGTCTCTTAATGTTGTTTATTGTGATGATAGCTTAGGATTTGAATCGAGAATACAAGTACGAACCTATCTTGTTACTAGACGATTAGGCTAAATACCCTACAAGATTTTATATAAACTTCCAAATCAATGTGGATTTAGTTAATTCTGTTGATATTAATGAGTACGGTACTTTGTCCACTGTTTTATTAACGTTGTATACGTATGTACAATAAAAATAAAATCAATAATGAAACATTGATGAAGTTATTGATAAAATGTTTAAAGCTTCATTGATTGAAACGGTTACTTTATAATCTTAAAATCAATATTACTTTGAAGTAATTTAGTGCTTACAAGGTTTCATCAATAGATACACTTGTTTAGAGATGAATGGTCTTTATAATTAATCTCAAAGAGTTCCCCATTAAGCCATACTTACGGACCTTTTCTGTACTAGCCAATTCATTAATTTTGTTATCATACCGTTTATTAAATTTTGTTGGATCATAGACTTACCTAAATATTTAGATATTTATTACTCATACAGTAGTTTGATATATTTTATTCCTCCAAAAATACATCAGTCCGTTTGTAGTTTATCCTTGTTTCCTTAAGTACATTACAATACATAAATGTTTGGCTGAAGGCGTTCTTAATTAAACATACAGTAATATCGTTCATGGAAAGTAGTACAGTGGAACCTCGATAGGAGGACCCTTGATAACAAGTCACCCTTGATAACCAGTATCATTTTAAAATATTCATAATTATTATACAGTACTCTTAATTTAATGTGCAAACCTCTATAAGAAGACCTTGATTACAAGTTTTATTTTATACCAATATTATAACCAATGTTATTAAAAAACTAATACTGTTTTTTTGTTTCCAGATATGCATCATGTTTTCCAGCAGCGTTGTAGTTCCCACAGTCAGTTCAGTTCCGAACTGCGTGTTAGTGTAGATAAGTGTTAGTGCGAGTGTAGTGTTAGTGTATTCAGTGTAAGTGTACAATGGCTAGACTCTCAGTGCAAAGTGTACTTCTTTATGTTTGGATTTTAAACCTCTCTGGAACAAATGGTGAGTTGAATTTTACTATTTAATTAGGTTAAGTTAGTTTAATTAAGTAGTAAAGTGTTTAAGGAATCACACTACTACTACTTATAAATTATGATTGTAACAAAAATTAGTGCTGATTATAGTACAACGTTACGTTACAAATATTTGATTGTAAAATATTTTAGATTTGAACTTCCTTTCCTAATGCATTAAAAGTATCCATACATTTAAAATAAGCACTATCAAGATTATAGAGCGTGTTAAAAAGGGTAATGAACTTTTGTAATCAAATAGGCCTAGATAAGATACCAACACTAAAGTGCATTTAGTGTAAGTGCACCTAATTGATATCTTATCAACAATAGATGATTGAAAGCGCAATTCAATATTTGATCTACGACCGGTGCAGCAGACCTGAAAACTAAGCGAATTTACATTTGCCTGATTGGATTTAAACAATAATATAGTATATGCTTTAAAATGTCTGATAGGTTTGCTGCTACAGGATAAATTATAAAATTAGGTTTTTAGTAAAAGGTTAGCTTTTTGTGAAATAAACATATTTATTTCGGTCAAAATATAGGCCTATCCATAAACAAGCAAACTACAGTATTATCAGCGTCAAAATACTTTCAGACGTCCAATCAATATTCCAATAATGTAATGGTAAAATTCATGCATGACTCCTCCATAATCATAAACAGCTGATAATTTTAGTGACCAACATAACAGCTCGTATTTATAATACAATAAACCATAAAATTACAAGGTAAACGTCGCTTATTACAGATTTGCCACAGTCAATGTTTTGGGATACATCGCAGCACTAATGTGTGTTATCTGGTCACGGGTTCGAATCCAGGCTTAGCCTCGGTCTATGTGGGAGGTCGACAGATGTTATCAGTCATTGATAAGCGTTAAGGGGGGGGGGAAGGGGATCAACAGTAATCTCACCAGCTCTGTCTTTCAAACCCAGTTCCAGTTGGTTTAATTCTATCCTTCTTCGGACCATTTGGAAACTACACTACGATAAAGGATGTATTTATATTAGGATAGTCAAAGATATTGTAGCTTACACCTCTTAGGATATAGGTGTGATTACAGTGTAAAAAGGGGGGTTCCCTACTCGAAAAAGGGGGGTTTACAACTTAATCAGTTTTTTTACACTTTTTTTTAAGTTACACATACACATACACATATGGTCCAGCCTGATCTACAAGTTGTTTTTTTTACTCGTTCGGAGCTTACTCAATTTGCTCGTTATCTTAACAACTGAATTCATCCTACTCATTTTTAATTTCAACTTTTGTGAAGTCCTACTCATTTGACTTTGATACTGTTTAACTATTTTAGGAGACCTAACATAGAGGATGATGAATGAATTAAAAAAATATTCGTGATGGTTCGTATTTTTAAAATCAATAATGAGAATTAAATCAATTGAATTAACGTCATACATACACCTCATGGATCTTGGAGGGTATTCAAAATATATATTATTGCTAAAATTTTCCCCAAACAGTGAGTTACAGGATAAACTAAATCAGCAACCAAATTCTACTTATAAGGATTTACTCTTTGGGTACCCATACAACTATTGTATTGATAAGGTATAACCAAAAGATACATAGTAGCTCTATAAATGCAACACAACCACACTAACAACCCTCAAATTGGATAGGAAATTTATTTAATCAAAAGTTTGGTCTTTGATGCATACAAAATACAATCGTCAGTTCAAACATCATTGCAAACTCAAAGATCATCCCTCTTAATACAAATCCTAAATTGCATTCTTGTATTGAGATTTGTTTGATCCTAAGATTGTGATGCAAATTGGGAAACGACCCTAGAGGGCCCATTTTCAAATTAGGAATCTCAGGAAGGGGACAACAATAAAAGGTTCGGTGAGTCGAGAATAGGGATGGAAAACCGTCGGAATTCGATTTGCCAGTAATGGGAAATCAAAGATTTTTGCGACGCAGCACTAAAGGTTTTATTAAAATAAAATTTAAAGAGATTGTGATGGCGTGGGCGAATGAGATATTGTACCGTCAATAGACGGTTGTTCAAATCCACACATTATTATACAAGCTACCAAGTATATCCTACTATAATTTATCGATTTTTGTAAATCTTGAGATACCCGGGCTTAAACCTGATATTTACACATTGTGTATTGGATGTTAGATTAGAGTTTAGGTTCGTGCATACCTTTCTATAAAACCAGGCAACTACTGGAACCGGGTCCTTGATAATTGATATAAAAATACAGGTTCACCTCTTGTATATTTCCTCAATCTCTTCAATCAGTGCCTGCAGTAGGTCTAAATAAAGGTTATTCTTCTTTGAAAATAATTTAAATATCCTTTGTTTAAAATTTGCTGTCGGCAATTGTTTGACTTAACTGAAATATTATTTCATAAATTTTCCATAACCAACTAGTAAAATATCTTCTTCGACAGCACTGAACATGTCATTCACATATTGGGTTTGATGATGATTGGAGTGTCCACATCGAAATCGACCACCACGTACCATCTTTGATATTTACTGGCTTGGGAGTGTAAACTAATGTTTCAAGCGTTAATATACATATTTTTATTTACTCAAACTTACCGATTAGTAAAACACAAATTTTATGACGTTATCCAGGATATGATCTCGTATTCGGGTGGAAAAGAGAGCTAAACATGACTAGATTACTACAAACTCCCACCCACGTAAAAGGTATCAAAATTCCAGATACTGAAACGTTATTTAGACTAGGCGTTTTACAATTAGTGGAAAATGTATAAAATATTTATTGAAACATGTAATATCCAACCCAAGACTACAAGTTACAAACCATTATGTTCTGCGATATACTAAAATCATGGTGTACACGATTTTTGATGCGGCACAAATTGTTTTGAGTCGAATTTCTGACACGTAAATTTTCTTAAGGAGCTCACATAATTTTAAATTCAAGTAACGATTTTAGTATTTCGATTGACAAATGTACAATATCTTTTAAGCTGATGGCAAATGCAGAATTAATTACCGCAATTCATGTATAAAAACTCATACTTTGGTTGTCCTGCAATTTATACTTTAGCAAAGATAGAGAAATAGAACCTTCGCCCAATTGTTATTTCACAATACGATGGGTTTCAGAAATACTACACCATTCAGAAGCGAGCAATTCTACTTGTCCTAGTTTCCCTGGAATTGCAGTGTTCCAGACCGGGTTTATTTAAAATGCAGATTTCATCTCTCTCGATTTATGTTTTTAATCAACTTTAGAAGTTATAAAAATTGACAATAGTTTGAATTATATTGGATTTGTTATCAATCCAACTGTGATTATATAGTTTATTATCACGTGTTAGATGATGAACGTAATTAAGGTTTTTAAAAACGAAAGGATAGTAAAAAACCCATATGTTACAAATGGTTTATTTGAGAACCTTTAAGGCGCTAGACATAGCCTACATAGCTTCCTTAATAAGAAAAAAACTTTGGTGTATATTATTGCCAGCGGCCTTGATTTTTTGATATGGAACACCTAACGTTTCTGTGGTGATGGGAGTGGGGTGCTACAGACCTGCCTTTGGGATCGTCAAAAAAGAGTACGTGGTAATTCTACTTATCCATGCACCACCTTCTGGGTTTTCTTCTAGATCGGTAAGCTGTGAGAACTGATTTAGTTTTGTCACTTTTTATCGATTTCATCTTTCTACTCATAATGAAAAAGGTAATGAATTACCACTGTCTACTTTTCAGCATACTACAGTTTAAATGGTTCGAACAACCCTAGTGGTCCCATCATTTTCTTCAGCTGCCTTCCTTTGTGTTCTAGTTGAAATATTTGAATCTTCATCAACAAATAGAAGATGTCACAAACAGCGTACCCTACCATGAAAACTTACAGTCACATAAGGAAATATTTCCTGATCATTCCTAGCCCGAGTAGTCCGGGAGGTCCTTTATCCTGTTTCCAGGACCTCTTACCAATGTTTCCCACATAGACACATCCTGGCATCGCGCGGCCATCCTTTGACCAACAACTCAGTATTCCAGTCACTTCTCACACAGGAAGGCAACACACTGTACCCGGTCAAACATTGGCAATGACATCACACTTACAACGAAATCTCATTTCAGCGGCGCGCCAAAGTACATAGCCAACTAAAAGCTCAACTCGGTAAATATTAGTGCCTGTACTTTGCCTGGGAGAAAACTATATTTTCGTAGTTGAAACCCAAGACATGTTTAAAATTTTGATTAGAAAATGTCTATTGTATACAATAAACTTTATGATCCAATCGTAAAGATCTAGGTAGTCTCTCAATTCATGGACGTCTTCTTTTGTGAGGTTAACTTCTTTCTAACCCTAAACAGAAACATTATACTGGGTGTGTTTTTTTTACGCAACCCAAATTACATGTACCAAAAAACGCCTTTTAACGACAAAACAAGCTCATTTGTGGGTATCCCTGTTTTCTTTACTTTATTGCCGATCAGCTAATATGCATTGATGCGTAGATGTCTTTGAGGTTTAGTGTTATTGGAAATTAATTGTAAATAAGAATCAATATGGTGTTTTCGCTCAAATTGTGTATCTATTGTAGGCCTACGTTTTATTGGTTTTCCTCAGTTTCGATTTGAAACAATTTTTGACAATTCTATGAATAGTTTATTTTTTTAGATACTGGAATCACACATGGAAAATTAATTTAAAACTTTTCTTTGCATACTGTAAAACTAATGATTTACTTTTAATGTAGTATATGTACATACTATTTGAGCTTGCGAAAACACTAACTTATGTTGAGTTTTTTTACAGTAAATTATTATTATTCATAGATAACTATGCAACAATACATATCAGCTGATCGACAATGAAGTAAAGAAAATAGCCTACCAACTAAAGCTTGTTTCGTCGTTAAATAGTGCATCACAGTATTTGTAATATTTGGGTTGTGTAAAAAAACATCCTGTATCAACAACTATATTTAAATTGTTAAATCAACTCAACA